TAAGAGACAGGTTGTGAGGCATCCGCGCGAAAAAAAAAAGAATTTTTTTTTTTTTTTTCACTTTGGGGGGCAGCCCCCTCACCCCCTCACATGTCAGAGACCCCCCCGGGAAGGCCGCCGAAACGGCTTGTACAGCCGTACGTACGGCCTGTACGACCGCCTGGGGGGCCGTACGTACCCCCCTCACCCCCTCACATGTCAGAGAACCCCCCGGGAAGTCCGCCGAAACGGCTTGTACAGCCATACGTATGGCCCGTACGACCGCCTGGGGGGGCGTACGTACGGCCGTATGGGCCGTATGAACGCCCGGTATTCGTACGGGGGGCAACATAGTGTGTAAGTAGTGGGAACCATACCTTTCACGACATCCAAGCATGACTGCGCAGGGCAGATGGTGGTTGTACAGCTATTGATAATAGGCTAGAACCTCTAGGTTGCAATTACAATAACAGCAGTACATATAACAAACAATATCACAAGACAAAATCAGAACAATCAATAATAGCTATGCTGGTGGGTAGACCAGGGTTTCCTCAGAGGATGTCATGGCTTAGACCTTGGCATAGCTCTCCAACAAGACAAAATCAGAGCAATCAATAATAGCTATGCTAGGTGGGTAGACCTGGTTTACTCAGAGGATGTCATGGGTTAGACCTTGGCATAGCTCTACCTACTCTGCTCTCAACTGAAATTACATGGTTGTTAAACTGCATGCTTGGAATGGATGTTGGGCCACATTGACAACGGACCGGGTTACAAAAACACTTGACCCAATCCGGAAGTCGATGTAATCCAAGTTCACGACTTTCTGTCTTCCGCCGTTGTTCCAAAAAGGCTGCAGCGCTCAGGAACAGACCGCCATGGTGGCAGTCGTTGCACCCGTAGCACTTTGTTCTGCTGCACTAGGATAGCATGGTGGCCGCTGTTGTACCGCGTTCGCTCAGGTGGTCATTATAGTGAGTGTTTCCACTGCACTAACACCGGTAGCTAGCAAATTTGTTATATACCTGTAGCAGTTACAGTTCATCTTGCCTAAAAATTAGTGGCGTCTAGAAGCTCAATTCCCATACTCTGTCGTCTATCTTTTGCAGTTCCCTGCTCGGCTTCTATCTCTTGAAGGATCTTCTATCTCTTGAAGGATCTACAAGTTCGATTCCCGTGCACTTTCGTTTATCTTTTGCACTTCCCTGTTTGGGTCCTATCTCTTCAAGTTGAAGGGACCGGTCTGTTTGAGTGCCTATTGACATTGGTCATGCTGGGTTACTTCTCTGTTCTCTGCCTTCATCTTCTCCGACTTGCTGATTGTTGCAGTAGAAAGACTTAGTGCAGCGTATTGCGAGTCAGACAGCTTGAGCCCTCAACACCTTCAACTTGAAGTCACTCCCAGACAGCATGAGCACTGGGGTGGGCATGTTCATGACTAAGTCCTCCTTTGCACTCTAAGGAATGAAGCACTCACAACTCTCGGAAGGCATGTACAGTATGATCCCAGCTACTTCCAAACCTCCCATTGCTGTTACAAGCAAAGCTCAACTGTCCTACTTCATAAGCATTAAATTACGTTCGCTCGCATGATGGTGCTGATGACGATGACGATGATGACGACTTCTCAGTTCCTTTTAGTCCGTTTCGATAAGTTTCAACCAATGCATCTCTTTGGATTGTGTTTCGCCGTATTAAGTTGAGGTGGGTTGTTTATGGACCATAGACAGGAAACTCCAACCTCCAATCTCCAACCTCCATCCAACCTCCAACCTCCAACCTCCAACCTCCAAACTCCAAACTGGCAAACTCCAAACTCCAAACTCCTTAGAGAGTACTCAATGACGCAGAACGCTTGCAGCAGGCAAGTTCCAAAAGAGGGGGTCCGGCTTCCGAGAGTGGCAAAGAAGGCAAGGCACCAGACTTAACATCCGTTTGCAAGCACTGAATCGAAATCTTAAACACCAAAGCTGAAAATGCCAAGCACTGAATTGAAATCTTAAACACCAAAGCTGAAAATACCAAGCACTGAACGCTTTAAGATTTCGCCAACTTAAACAATTTAAAGTTGTTGCACATGCAACATTCCCCGGCCCTCCGCTCCCCCACTCTCCCCCCCCTCCCCCCTGCCGCTTGTCTTCCCCCTCCGACACGCGGAACATGCCCACACGCACACTTCCTCACGTACGATGAGCCCCCGTGCGTCACCACAATTGACGGATAAATCAGAGGAGGAGGGTTCCTCTTATTCTAAATACCTTGTATACACCCACACCCACACCCACACCCACACCCACACCCATACACATACATAAATATATACAGGTCCATCCGACTCCATCGGACTCCATCCTCACTCAAACTTTGCCTCTTCACGTCCCAAAAGAAATAAACTCAGTCTCTCTTTCCTCAAAGACGCTTCCGCTGCGTAACCTCCGTAAACTCACTGGCTGCCAAAGGTAGCCACCGTGGTTAACCCTTCCCCAACCCCTCGCAGCCCCCCACTCCCCCACCCCTAACCCAGCCCAAACCCAGTCGAATTAACCCCTCGTGACCACCGGAGCTAGGCTCTGAAGAAGTTTAACCCTTCTCACCACCCGAGCTGAGATCTAAAGAAGGGAATTCTTAACCTGTCGCTAACTACGTTGACTACTCTGACCCCTCAGCTTCCCAAGTTTTACCCTTGGCACCACCACAATGACAATTACCGCAGTAACTATTTCACCAGCCGACCCAGCCTTCAGGGTTCTCTAACGTCCCACCGTGACCGCCCGTATCCTCTTTCAATCTTGCTCACGATTGCCCCCCCGCCCCCCTCCCCCCCCCCGCGGTATACTACCTGCACCTGACTGAGGGCATCGCAACACCACTCTCGAAATGTGCAAAATGAGAATGAACTTCCGGCTAGAACATGACCAGATGCACTCGACACATTTTTGTCTTTTTCACATTTCGAGAGTGGTGTGGCGAGGCCCTGAGGCAACCTCCAAGGCGTGCCCAGACTCGTACTAACGGCGGGAAACGGTACGTTCTGGTCCACCGTAGCTACCCCATTGCCTAGTCCGTTAGCACCCCGTTAGCACCAAACAAACGTCCAATTTAAATTTCAAACTTTAAGGCTCTGCTTTTGAAAACGACTCCAATTTCAAAGCTTGGAAAGTTACTAATGCCCCACTCACTCAGTATACTGTATCCCTGAATGGCCACAGATTTCCGTAAATGGCTAAGTTAAAGTTAAAGTTGTTAAACTCTCTGACTTCTTACTGAACATAAGCGATGCCTTCGTCTAGTACACGTGTGACAAGAGCCTAAAGGGGGATGAATCTAAGAAGAAGACGTAGGTAGCAACTGGCATGCCCCTCCCTCCTCCCCCTTCGTCCACCTTCTGCCACAAGAAAGAGAGCTGGAGACGGGGAGGAGGACAACGAGAATGAAATGGGGTGTGGTTTACTCGTCATCCTCGACGAATCTTCCAGTGCCGGGAACCAAAGCGGTTGTGAGGAAAAAGATGATGGAGAAGAGGAGGAGGGGCTCGATCTCGTTGATAGGGACGCCAGTCTCGATGTTAAGCTGAGCAAGGGCACCTTTGCCAGTCAGCACTTCTCCGAGGATGGATGCGACGAAACCCAGCTGGGCCATACGGCCGACAAACAGCTCGTTGGCCTTTGTGAATCCGAACACCGGGGTGGACGCCAAGATGGCCTTCCAGCCCTTTCCGTCAGTGGCCACGCTAGTGGACGGACTATCGTCCACGAAGCGGCCCCTGTCACCAAGCGCGCCGATGGCGCCGAGAACGTTGAACACGATGAAGAAGATCACAAGTGGCTCTGACTCGTTAAGTGGGATCCCGGTCTCCAGTCCCAACTGCTCGATGATGCCCTTGCCCGTTATAGCCTCGCCAAGGAGAGATGCCTGTCCGCCCCAAGCCCAACAGCAGCAGGAGAACAAACCCACCCACGCACACAAAACCACGCACATGTAAGAACACCGGGAAACTAATAATATAAAAGAACATGACACACACACACACACACACACACACACACACACACACACACACACAAACAAGCAAACAAGCAAACAAACAAACACACAAACACACGTAGGAAACATACAGCGAACATGACAACACACACACACACACACACACACACACACACACACACACGGAGCGCATGCACACACATACGTACCGACAAGATGCTGCACAATGAACGACAGAATGTATGAACTAATGAGTTTTTATTTATTCCCTACTTTGACAAGTGAATAACGACAACGATGGTATGGCCAGCTGCACGAGAAGGGAAGAAAAGCAGTGGAGTTGCGATAATGACTGCGGTTCGCAATTTCGCAAGGACTGCAAGTCGAAACAATAAGTCAAAACTAAGCCTTATCTTCTCTGAAAATTTTCACGTTTTACTACCCACCTAGTACCTATCACGACTACTAAGACTGTACCAGGGGGAATAGCTCAGCTAGACAAAAAAAAAAAAAAGCCTCACATTCGTCAATGCGGGGGAGGGGGGTACGTCGGGGAGACGGACCAGAGGAACAAAAAATGGGTGGGACAACCAGGGGCAGACGTACAGTCAGTCTGACTCAGTCACATTCTCGAAATCACAAAGTCGCACACAGCCGCACACACTGCCACACAGTCCACTCGCCGTCTAGCCATCGTCAGATACTCAGTCACACACGTCTCTCTACTTGGAGCGCCTTACAGCAGCAGAGGGAGACCGGAGAAAAGAGAGAGACGGAGAGTGGGAGGAGTTCTTTGCTCGCTGGGCATTGTGGGTAGAGATGCCACGTACCGCGAATCCCAACATAGCCAGCCGTCCAACTAGCAGTTCGTTCTCCTTAGTGAAACCAAATCCGCCCGACGTCCCGAAAATGCTGTCGCCCTGATCCAGAAGAAAAAAAAAAAAAAACATTGAAAGACACCAGAGAAACAAACAAGAAAAAAAATAAAGCGAGTTAACGAATCAGAAGTCCCAACAAAAATATTGGCAAGCAAAGATTTACCAAAAGCCACACAAAACTTTCTGAGTTTCTCTGCAAGCTCTTCCCCCCCTCCCCTCTCTCTCTCTCTCATGCACACACACACACACACACACACACACACACACACACACACA